AAAAAAGAGCGAGGATTGCCATTGTGTGATTTAAAGTTTTGTCTTAGTCTAACACACTCGTATACCCTTTTTCCATAATATAAACCCTTATACTATGAGTCTCACGGTTTCCTCTTCGGCACTGAGTGTAGACGGAATTCGGGTTCCTTTAACTCTGGAAAAAAGTGTATCTCAAACTCACATGCCTCGTATATGTAATGCCTGAGAAGGTTTTTAACATCTAAAAAGATACAAAAACGATTTTTTTTTTTGAATCACTAAGCTTTGTTCGTCGTTCCAAGAGTGACTTCATGTGGTTCGCATTCAACAACAACAACAACAAAAAATCATGCAGCAACGTTGTAACGTGAATAGGTTCACCAATTGACAACTAATTCATCTTTAGCGTAAATCACCGAGAAATGATTCCCTTGAAAAGTTTGTAGAACACAAAAGAAGCGTAAGGGTTGCTCCAGGCGCACACGAGACCATCTGTAGCTTCTTGAGTGTTCGGCTTGAAACGTCCCGAGAAAAGAGGTGGACGATCTTGTGTTGCACGTGGATCCAGTCTTACGAGTTGTAAGAAGTCTACCAACTCCAGTTGATAAGAAGTCTACCTCCACGCTGGAGGCAGCGTGGCCGAGTGGTTTAGAGCGCTGGTGTTGTAATCCGGAGGTTCCGGGTTCAAGGCCTCCACCCTGCCACTAGTGGGATTTGTTTCTCGGTGGTCCCGAGTTCAAATCCTCGGTCACGTTTTGTGAATGACCAACTGGTCGGCCTCCTGCCAGTTGGGATTTTTAACTATGTTACGTTTATTTGAAATATTTGTTTCCTTTGTTTCAGTGGCATGCCTGTAAACTAGCTAGGCCTAGTGCTTGTATTGCTAAGTGCATGAACACCAAAATAAGATTTACATTTTACATTTTACATAATGTCGCGTTTTGTTTAGCTAGTTCTTAATTCTTAGAGACTTGACACTTGGCCGAGTGGGCCTAAATTGAAGCTCTGCTCGTTCTAATGTATACGAAAACTGAAAATTTGTATTCTCGACAGATTACCCTAACAATGAGGGCTCAACTATTGATGTTGCGAACATTTGCTGCTCTACACGTTGTGACACCTCAGACGGTAATGATTTTAGAGTCAAATGTAATCTTTTGTATTCCATTCTTGGACCATTTGTACGATCACTTCTTAATAACTCTTTTCATGCTTCCACTACAGACCTGCACTTCAACAAACGGTGTTCCTGGCATTCCAGGAACTCCCGGCATACCCGGACCTCACGGTCGAGACGGCGCAAAGGGAGAACGAGGGGAGACTGGTCCCAAGGGAGAGCCGGGCTCCAAGGGAGAAGCTGGTGCCCAGGCCTTTTCAAATTGGAAGCAATGTGTTTGGAAACATAGTGATGACCGGGATTTTGGATTAATTAAGGTAACACTATATGTTCACGAAAGTCTTGAGAATCAATAATTACTATTGCATAAGTGAACTATTAGACAGCCAGATCTGTTTGCAGGACATTTTAGAGCGGTTTTCAATTGACAGTATTAAAACCAAAACCAAAGTAATTACTCTAGCTAGTCACAAAGGACACAGACAATACAGTAAACCAATCAAAACTCGAAGTAATTACATGTAGCTGCTGACGCAAAGCGCGGGAAAACGCGTGAGTCACGATTGGTTATGGTTTTACTTTCGACTGGATGAAAAAATTGGCGCGAGTTTTTTAAACTAATCGTGTAGCGTGGTTGATGCAAAGCCAATTACTTTTCGACATTCAAATGAAAACCGCTCTAGGTACGCCTAAGCTCTGAGACGCAATTTCACTTACTTGCTTTTCCTTCAACTCTGCAGGACTGCATCTTTCAAAAGAAACACAAAGATACTTCCTTACGCGTGTTCTACTCTGGCGCTTTTCGCATCTACAACTGCAACAAGTGTTGCAAGCGTTGGTTCTTCACCTTCAATGGCGCTGAGTGCAGTGGTCCAATGCCAATTGACGGACTTGTTTACATCCGTGAAGGGAATGACCTGGAGCCCCTCCGTGTCCGCCATATATATTCCTAAGGGAGGAGTGCGTGTGGGGATCAACGTGGGAAACTGCGCACGTCACGATAATGCAGACGCGCATTCTGGCTGGAATTCAGTGTCCCGGATTGTGGTGGAAGAAGTACCCGCTCCTCAGCCGTAAAATAAGAAACATTACAGTCCTACGACATGTTAGGCTGTTTACAGACCTTTCAGTTTTGCTGCAGCGAACAATTTGACAAAAAAAAAAACAAATCTTATTAGCTTACTCCATAAGGTAGCCCCAAACAGATAAAAAATTTTAAAACCTATGACAAGATGTGGTATGAGATTTCTTCTTTCGGGATAGAAAAAAAAACTGTATTACTGTCAAGGGATATTATCATCTCATGTTTCGTCTCAAATTTACAACTCACTTCTGTTGAAACATTTTAAATAATATCACTACTCGAAACGTTTGTGTGTGCTGATTTAGATTTCGAGACTCGCGAAGCACCATTTTCTATGAATCATCCCCACACCCTTTGCTAGCTATTG